CGCTCCCTCGTGAGCCCTTGATAATTTATAAATTATTATTATTTTGTCATATCTTGCCCTGTCCGACGTCTCCCTTCACCCACTTTTCTGTTGTCAATGCCCCAGGGAGGAGGTCACATATAGTTCCTTGTAATCGGTTCCCCCCTTCCACTCCACCCTCCCTCCACGAGACTGTCACTCTTTATGAAACTAGAAAGCCTCCTTTTTCCCCTAAGGAGCGCCAGGTGGACCCTAACTGCTGACCTTGTGGTTAGCAGCCCTGTGGTCGGCACGACACCACCACAGTTCCAGCGAAGGGCAATCAGAATGAACTCTTCGTGCTGCAGAGCACCTGCTGCCAGTCCCCCTCTCTCCTCACCCTGGAACCCACCTGAGTCTGACACCTCCACTTGTCATTTCAAGCCTTCCTTACGCACTGAGGTGCTAACCAGAAGGTCACGGTTCAAGATCGCCAGCCAGCTCGAGAGAGAAAAAGGAGGCCTATGTGCATAAAGGGTTGCCTTCTCAGAAACCCAGAGGGCAGTTCCACTCTTGTCCTGTAGGGGCGCTCCGAGTCAGCGGGCAGGGAGGGAGGGAGCCCCCGCACCCCACGAGGCTTGGTGGCTGCGCTGGGTCAGCAGGTGATGCTGTGGGCTCATCGCTGAGCTGCTAAGTGCTCAGCTGGCGTCCGGGCGGGAGAAAGACGGGGGTGGGGGTGTCTCTGCTTCTTTAAAGGTTTGCAGGCTCAGCAGCCTGCTCCCGGTCCCGGTAAGGCGGAATGGATGCCATGACAATGAGTTTGGCTTGGGTCTCCTTTGCACCCAGTCTCTGGAATGCCTGTTCCAGTGCCCTCCTCTGCAAACTCTTCCTCCCCAGAGACCCTGCCCGAGCATCTCCTCTGAGCTTCCTCCGTTCATTTCCATCCTCCTCTCCAGTGTTGTGCTGGGATTGAGCATCCACCCTGCTCCTGTCCGTCTGTCCGTGCTTCTTATCGTGGTGGTCGTTTACACGTTGTTATCACGCCGGCCACTTGCTCACGCATATTCCAAATACCAGTGGGGGTAACCTACAGTAAACGGGTTTCAGCGGAAGCAAGGTGTGGCCTCTACTGCTGAAAGTTCCCCCAGGAGAACCCTGTCGGTCTCAATGGAACCTTGTCCAGTATCGTGAAAGACGAGGCCCGCTCAGAAGACCCGGTGGCCACAGGCGGAGTCAGTGGAGGATAAAGAATGGACGAGAAGATGGCATGGGACTGGAAGTCTCATTCGGTGACACGTGGGGGTGGTGTGAGTCATCAAACCCATCTCTAAGGTTAGTAAGCTCATTAGCAAACCCTTTCATGTTGATAGAGATTGCTGCCCCCCCCTGGGGGGGCTTCCTGTGGGGTTCCAGCTGTCTGGTTCAAGGTGAACCGACCCCACCTGCTGTTATTCTGTGGCGCACCAGAGTGAGGGTGGTGGCCAGATTTAGGCTTTTCTCTTTGTGACAATAGGTAGAAGGGCCCTATTTTAACCCACTTGAAGGCCAGTTGTATCTGGTATGGATTTATTACCTCCCAGCAGCAAATCCAATCTTCATGACCCACTGTGTGGAAATGAAGCTGGGGGATGGGGGGGGGGGCTTTAAAGATGTTTTAATGACATGGAAATTAGATTACAAACATATATATGGAACTCTAGAAACATGTGTGGAGCAAGCACATGCCATGCCCCAGTAGCCCCCACTCGGCCTAGTCTCTGCTGTCGGCCAGGCCTGGGCAGGAAGCTTTCATGACAGTACTCACGGCTCGATTCCCAGCCCATGTGCATGCTGGGCATTTCAAACTTCTACCGCCAAGCAGCCCAGGTGCCTCACTCCCGACAGGGCTCTCATGGATCCCAGGAGGGCCCCGGCACACGTGCAACTGGGACTGCGAGCCCTCAGCTAAGAGGGTTGGCCAGCAGATGGATTCATAATGCCACCCTGCATGAAGGAGGCCGGGCTCAGACTGCCCCTTTTCAAGAGAGTTACATAATTGCGCTTTCTCCATGTCTTGGTTTTACTAGGAGTCCTGGGGTGTAATGGGTTAGGTGTTGGGCACAGAGGTCAGCAGTTCAAAACCACACCCACTCCATGGGAGAAAGAAGAGGATTTCTACTCCACCAAGAATGACAGTCTTGGAAGCCCACAGGGGCAGTTCTACTCTGTCCCCTAAGTCAGCATTGACTCGTTGGCAGTGAGCCTTTTGGGTCTTAGTTTTATCAATAAACGTAGAGCCAGAGACTGGTCGTATACACGATACATTTGGGCAGAAGTATCAGGCGAGAAAGGCGAGAGAGCTGCTATTTTTTTTTACCTTCTTGACTGATGGGAGGGGTTCTGGTGGCTCAGTAGGTTTCGAGTTTGGTTGCTAACCTCAAGGTCAGCAGTTTGAAACCACCCGCCGCTCTGCGGGAGAAAGATGAGGCTTTCTACTTCCCTAAAGAGTTACAGCCTCAGAAACTCACAGTGGCAATTCTACCCTGTCCCAGAGGGCTGCCACCAGTTGGAACTGACTCCATGGTACTGTTTGGTTTGGTCTGGTTACTGGTGGCATTAAACAGGACCCACCCACCAGATCAGGGTCCACCTCAAGGTCCAGTCTCAGCTCTGCATCCTCTTCAAGGTCTTCTCTCTGTTGATCCGCTGCAGCCAGTTGCGCCTGGGCTACGTGCTTGGCTACATTGGCAATGGTCCCACTAGTGGCACCAGAAAGAGAGCCTGAGAGAGACCGAGCCTCGTGCCCTGGTGGTTTATTTGGGAAGTGCTTCTAAGGAACAGTCCTGGGAGAGGCAGGCCTCGAGGAAAGGACAGGGCTAAGGGGGCA